AGTTCACCCTGGGAATCTGCTGGTGATCACTGCCCTGGCTGGGCTCAGTGGTGGAAATAAATGCCAAAGGAAATTGCACATAATTCAGAGAAGGGAAGAAGTAAATGTTAATTGCTTTTTTGTAAAAAAAACCAACAAAAACTTACAGGTGGCCCACTTGGCCCAGGTTGTCCTGAATGTCCTGCTGGTCCAGCTGGTCCTGTTGGCCCTGGTGGACCAGGTGGCCCTGGCGGGCCCTGGATCCCTGCCTGTCCTTGTTCACCCTGAGGTTCATTAAAACATGAGTTACCATCAGAGTTAACCTATAGCACAGCGTTAGAGGTGTGTGACATATAGCAAGTCAGCCCAAGAAGGGGAAAGAGAAGCGAGTGGTAGTTAGTACCCGGAGAGGTTTCCAAAACTGAGGCAAAGGTCTCCTCATGATGATCTTTCTGGATGGATGATGGCAGCCATCCCCCTATGGTTTGCTATTACATCACATAGCTTCTAATTAGTCGTTCTCATAAAAGGGGCATGAAAACTGGGTTAAATTCTACCATACTGCCAGGTGCAACCCAAATATGAACTGGGATCTTTTTTTTTAAGCTTCACAAACTGTAAGTAAGTATATATAATACATTTTAAAATCCCTTGAACCTTTTTAAACCTTTCATCAAAGCAATTTACACCTAGTTCTGAACAACACTATATAATGAGACAGGTGAATGTTATCATTTTAAAGAGGGATGAACTGAGCCAGGGCCACACAGTAACTTACTGATAGATCCATGGAACCTAATTTACTTGTGCTTAGGGGTGGGGATGGGGGTGGTTAATTAGAGCGGTTTCCAGAGAGCCACTCTAATTAAAACTTCTCACTGTCACATGTATTAAGCTCCCGTGCATTTAAAAATGGCCACAGGATGTCTTATCTAAACCTCATTCAACAAGGTTTAGATAAAGCACCCCTGCAGCCATTTTAAAATGAGCAGAGGCTTACACATTTCATGGTGAGGCCATGCTGGAGCCTTCTAATAGGCAGCCATTGTACAGCCTATTTATGTGCTGGTTCCTGTTTTAATTATAACGCTTCAGAGCAGGCTTGATTAATTTTCCTATTGCTTAACTATTAGACAACAGTCCACTCTTTTGACACAGTTTTGCTCTGTTTTCATGGTATTTTGGGAGTCAACTAGAATCTCAATCAGGAATGAGATTCTTATGAATTTCATAAGGTATTCTGGTGAATAGGCTTGCAAATATTCTTGAAGGTAGACAAAAACCTCCAAATATTTGGTTACTGATCTTCACAGGTGGCCTTTCCCTGGTCACCTCACAGATATTCTGGAGCACTCAGAAGAGGCTTGTGCTTCTGTTGTCCCAGGGAACAGAGGCTCAGACCTGGCTCGTGGCAAGCAGTTAGTGAGTTAAATACTGGACTATAAATGATGAATACAGTACATTCCTAGAGCACTGTGGCACTCATGGTAACTACCCATCTCACTCATTTCTTTTTTACAATTCCTTCTACCTAGATAGAGGATCACAAAGTCCTAATGCCCATGACAAGATTTCAGTGCAAACTCTTTGTGAACATACTGGAAGGCTAAAAATAGAATTAGGGATTTATTTAAAACACAGACATGAGTTTAAGGCCACATGGCAGGAGAAAAGAAAGTTGTCTTGATTGAATTGATACAGCTGACTTGGATAAAATGTTATCCCATTCACATGAGGTCATGTATATACAAGCGGGTAAACTATGTGTAATATATGTCTTATGTGTGTGTTGCCAAAGAGCAAGGGGTTCGTCACTATAGGATAATTTGGATATTTAGAGGAAAAGGGAGAATGGGGGTTGGGACTGCCTAGTGCTGATGGTTGCAGTTCTGATGGAAAGTTAGTTTTGTGAATGATTTTGAGATTTCAGAATTTGTTTTTCTTTCTGTTTTGGAACAAAGATCTCAAATTTCAAAAATTGTTTTTTCATGGCAATGTGAGAGAAAAAATTGTTTTGGAATGATTCAAATGTCCAATAGCACCGAATCATTTTTTTAATTTAAACTTTTATTTTATATGAGGATACAGTATACAGTATTTTAACAATTTAAAAAGAAAAAATGTTTTCTGAAGTTGTCTTGACATCATCTGAATATTTCTCCCACAACAAAATTTTAGTGAAATTGACATGATTTCATAAAATGTTTCCATTTCAACAGAATGGCATATTGTGATAGAAAATGGTGCCACTGATGCTTTTCCAAGCAGTTTTAGAATTTGCCTTCAGACCTGCTGACTTCACCTACTGTTGCCTGTTTTCTCCTATATTCTTTGCTTTCCCTCATTTAAAAAATGAGGTGCACCATGCCATGCCATGCCATTGAGGCATATCCCCACAGAGTCTGCTCTGATACTGGAAGAGCTCCAGATCCTGGTCTTTTGTAATCTGGATTGCTCCAAGATTCTGAATGCAGATACAATGAAGGAGGATATGAGACAGCATATGGATCTAGATAGGCAGAGACTCCATGCTATGATTCAGTGTATAGATGCCTAAATGAGAACCAGAACAGCCACAGACTAGCCCCAGGTGTATGTTTAAGAAGAGACCAAGCTCAGATGATCTGAATAAAACATAGGGATATTTGTACTATTTACAATGATAAATAGACTGAATTAACCGCAAACTTAATTTCTTTTGTCATGAGCCAAATATAAAAACAAATTCTCAACATGTGGACCATCCCCACAGGAGACCCAGTCTCCCCTGCTTGTTCAGTTAAGAATATCCCATAATTCACCACACCAACAGAATGGTGTAGGAAATGTAATGGACTGTGCCAAAAAAGAGCTTTTTCTTTTTCCTGTTTTTGAAACTAATCCTAGCACATCCTGTGGTTTGCTGAGAAGGACGCAGAAGCCTTCTGGTTTTGCTCTTAAATTTTGTGGTGAATGTGGTACCAATAAATAGAAGAGGCATACGAACTTGGAAGAAGTCAGGCAAGAAACAAGCACAAAGCAAATTACCTCATACTTCTCTGCCACTGCATCTCCTTCCGGACTTATAGCATTGTAGCATTATATTTTAAATACTTTATGAATACGAAAACAAAATGTTGGTGGCATAGCAAAGTTAGAAAATGTTTTAACCCCGCTCAGTGCTTTTGTTTGCTAAAACTCTGTCTTCCAGTAGGTAGGGGGCATCCCAGATGCTCAGTCTGTTTAAAATGGCCATGGAGAGCCTTATCTAAACCTCATTTGATGAGGTTTAGATAAAGCACCCCTGCAGCAATTTTAAAATGCACAGACAGTGGCTTATACATGTGACAGTGAGGTCACGCTGGAGCGTTCTAATCAGAATGCGAACCAGCATGTATATCGGCAGCCATTATACAGCCTATAGAGTCTGTCAGGAACAGCCTCCTTTTTTGTAGGACATCTTCTTTTCTGGTGATGTGGTGACACTGAAGGGGTTATTTTGTGTGTGGCAATCCAGTTGCCTGGGTTCACACAAAAGCTGATAGTTAGCAAGCACTGAGTAGGCCACAGGTAGTCTTGAGTCTTAAGATTCCTGCACACAGTGTGCCATCCCTGCAGTGCCATTACCTTTTGTTTAAGCAGATGCCTCATATAGACAGACTCCTAAACACTCAGAGCTTTATTACCACATCATTATATTCTTATTAATAGTTTTATCCTAGAAAGACCTGCTAGGATTTAACTGGAATGTAACTGGATAGATAAAGTTGGCAATAGGATCTCATACTTAGCAGATGTCATTTAGTATTTTTAGCCATTAATTGGAGCAATTTGTCAGTTTTGTTAAACACCAATTAGTTGCCTAGATATTCCTCCTGTCTCAATATTCTCTTCTCTCTCATGATAGTGTTCACTGCTAAATATCACCTCCCCTAACACCAGTCTCTGTGTTGGTGAGAGCTGCCACTTTGCAACATCCTCATATGGCGGCAAAATTTAAGCAGCAGTTGTCTTTCCTTTAGTTCCAATAGTAATTTTGTTTTATATACTGTGGGCTATTTTTGAGGGAGGGGATGCTTACAGTGTCTTGCTATGATCCTAGAGGCATGAGTTCCAGACTCATTCTGAAGGCCGCCTCCAGAAACCCAGCTGTAAGTGGGTACCCTGTCAATTGGGCTGGGGATTCAAAGCAGTTGGATATACTGCTAACCAGAGCATTTCCTTATAAGCCATTAGCTCCAGAAACCAGAACACCTACACCATGGTAGTCTATTGGGCTACTCTCTCATGGAGTGAATCTGATAGTAGCTAAATGAATCATACAGGTTTTTAAAGAAGTCTTTGTGTGAATTTAGCATTTGTGGGTGGTATTGAATTCACAGTCCTGACACATGTAGCCCCCAGAACAGGCATAGAAGGCAGTATAGCTTTGCCAGCTTGGCTATTCTATCCTAGCAATGAACTTCAGTTTTCAAAGTTGTCTTTTCAAGCCAATCTTTAGCCTCTCTCTTGAGGATACTAGTCGGAGTGACAAGGTGGAGCAAGCAATGCTACCTCTGGGGCTTTGTATGATGTAAACACCTACCTAGTAGACACTGGGCAGAAGCCACTGGGTCATTTCTCAGGAAAAAAACCCAGTAAGTATGCTAAAAGTTCTTAGGCACAAACCAACAGCCTTCCAGTAAAAGAATACAGCAGCTACGGGAGAATATCAATGTCTTTTGCCATCCTGCTTTTTGCATTTCATCACAGTGAACCCATTTTAAGTCTTGATACAAATGGCTCAGTAGGGACAATTGTTAAGAGCTTGTCTACATGGAGAAAGTCAGGCAAGTGAATCCAAATAACTAAAAGCATGCATTTAAAATGGATTAGTTAAACTACATTAAGCCTCTGCATAGGTGCACTCTTGCGGAATTCACATGGCCTTAGTTCAATTTAGTTTAATTGCCAAACTCATTAGGGCCTGACTTAAGGTCAACGTAATGCTTAAAAAGAGTGAAAAAAGAAGGATTTGGTTCAATTGAATTCATCCACTGTAAAAGTTCATTTGAATTAATATTTCTGTGTGCCACCATTTATACAAGCCCTAGCAGAGCTGTTTGCCTAATAAGCAAGACCTCTTGCACAAAGTTTCATGGCATTTACACAATTTCAACAGGAAGTTTCTAACCAACTACTCATACTGTTGTATGTGTAGGACCTGACTCCTTAGGGTAAAAGTCAGTGCCTACCCCTTATGCCACCTCTTTTTTATCACACTTTAAAGAATCAGATGTTCCACATCTTAATTCATTTGCTTTAAAAATCAGGAATTGCTACAATTCTTGTTTCTCACCTGATGGCACCAAATATTCTTCTACTCCAAAGAGAGCCTTTGGCTCTGCCAGAGTCTTTTTGAAACCCCTCTCTAAGGATGGAAGGAAGGAATGAAGCTGATTAATCTTAATATTCTGAGTAGGCTTAAAACAGGAAAGGAGGAGAAAGTGTCTACCTGAAAAGTGCGTCTCTTTATGACCGGGGGTGGAGCCAGTCGCACTGAATTGAGGAGAGGCAACAGCTGAGGAAGAAGATCGAACCAGAAGACCACAGGGCAAAGTTCACAAGGCAAAGGAGATCAGTAGGACATCAAGAGCCAGAGAGCAGCCAAGAAAGGAAATGGAAAGAAAGGGGGAAGGGGGTAAAAGAATGTAATGAGAATAAACCACAGTTAAGACACACTTGTGAAGGGCACATGGAAAGACTGTCATTGGGTACCATTCGGCAAACCTCTGAGCTCTTCTGCATTTTACTTTAAACATATGATGGAATATCATAAGGTATGGCCTTGAAAGCACAGGTTCTTCTTGAAAGGGCTAGATTTTACTTGCTTTTTTTCTGTCACTTATCTGTCTTTCAGACCCAGCCCTTCAATTACATCACATAACTTTTCTGCTTTTGATTCATCTTCAGAAATAAAATTCACTGAACACATCTACACATGTACCTATAGCGCCTTTGTTACGGCATTGTCATTTAGTACTTCCTTTTGGAAGTAGTACATTGCTACAGTGATACACTGTCACATGTAGATGCGCCCACTAAGTAATTTCTTGTGTCAGTTCTGCTGCTTGCCTCAGAAAGTCTTTACTGCAACATAACATAAAGATTTTTCCCCAAGTTTCCCTCAGTTCTCTGGTTCTCTCAGTGTCTTATTATTAGAGTTGAACAGTTAGACAAATCAATAATGAATTTTCTACAAATTACAACCACCGATGAATATATGCAATTTTCCTCACCTTCCTTCCCAGCTTCTTGCCTTATCTCAAGATTGTTCTCTTTTGAAAGCCCTAACAAATTTCCCTCACCATTAAATAAGCACATGTAAGACTTCAGGTTGCAGCTAGTATGCTACCAGTTTTCTAATGAAGTCTGAATGAGAATTGCACCATTTTCCAAGCTGGAGGAGTCACTGCACAATAACAAGGGATTCCCTTCCAAGAAATGGAAGAATTCATCATCCAAATAAAACTTCAATTTCCTGCCAGGGCCAGCAGTGGTAGAATAAGACCAATTTTTGAACTGATACTTTTTGCATATTAAAACAAAATTATATTAGGAGATATCTCACTTGTTCAGAATCCTTCATTGTTTCACTTTATTTGTCCTCAGGAAGACCTTCAGTATTATCATGACCCAACTGTAGAAGACTAAAATTTGCTCTTTTTACTGTCTCTGAGCTTTGGGCAGTGGCATTGCCTCAAGAGTGAAATGAATTGTTTTCTCCTCAGACAGATATTAATTTATTGCCAATATACTGAGCCTATGCATTCCTTGTCTCTTTGTCTAATAATAACAATAGTGTGCAATCCATTTGGGGCAGGAATCCTCTCTTTGTCATACAGCTGACCCATACAAATCCAAATCAGGACTTCAATTCATACTCATGCTATATCTAATTTCCACTTCCTAACATGCTCCTCTCTTTCTGAGTGCTTGGTAGGCTGCTTTACATCCCAAAAAGTTGGCATTCACAGCACAGACACAAAGCTCAGGAATGGTAGGACCCGGTCTGATTGTCTGTCTTGTTTTATATTGGTGTAACTCCACTGACGCTATTCTTCCTTTACACTGGTGTAAATAAGGAGAACCAGGTCCTTCACATGAACACACAAGTGTGTTTGTGTCTTCAGTTTTCCCTGCGTGAGCTGTGAACACAAGGCTGAGAGGTATGCTTGCTGGTCTCCCATGACAGTAACTGTGTATATCCAAGAGTGCATTTTACTCCCCTGAAAGATGGCTGTTTGGGTTTTAGTGCAAGCTAAGATCCAGTCTTGTTGCAAAATGAAATGTCATCACAATATTACACCATTATAGTGCTGCCCTCTGGGCAATTTAAAAAAAAACAACTCTTTGCAGGAAACCAGCAGAGCAAATTTCTACTCAGTCACAATTAAAATGAAGTTCACGGATCATATTATGATGCAGTGAATCTCAAAATAAGCAAGACCTGTTGTACCTAGATTCTCATTAATGTAGTAAAGATCAGTCTACATGGCTCCTGGGACTGAACAGCCATGATTTCAGTGCCATGCCTTTCACATGAGACCAGTCAGCTTCACATTTTTATCATTATCTTCTCCCGTAAGCTAACATAGGGAATCATAAGTGATTGAGAACACAATCAACCAGGACAGTTTTGACCATGGTGAGTCCCTCCCTTCCAGAAAGCAGGTTTGTATAAAGAAGGAGGTGGAGGACACAGCAAGAAAGGACTTGGGGTGGATGGAAGGTCAGACTTTGGTGGCAACCATTGTTATCCCTGTAAGGACAATGAAAATGCATATGCCTTGTGTGGCATATGGTGACATCACTTAACATGATGCAGCATCCCAATGGCTGGAAAATGCAGAGATTCTGTCATTTTAATTTCCTTCAGTCCTGTTTACTGAACTGGCATTTCTATTTTGGGTGTTAGCAGCAGATAGAGAGCATAGTGATACAACAGGGCTGCCCTTGGGATGCAGTGGAGCGCTCTAGGCCTAGTTGCCATTTTAGTGGGTTCTGAGAATACTATTAACCCTAGGCAAAGGGAAAATTTAACATCCCATTGTATTCATTCAGATAATGATTTGGAAGGAACCAAGACAGACTCTGTGGAAGAGCCCTGTTGAATCCTTAGTAATATCTCTGTCTGGAAGAAGTATGGTTATAATGTGGTAAAATGCAGGGAGCTGAGGGAAAGGTTATTAAAAAGGCATGAGGAGAAAAATGGAGTGTAATCTCAGGAGTCTGCTTAGCCTTCTTACAAAAGAAGCTTGAGTTTAAAAGGACCTGTGTACAAAGTCAAATATAGGGTCAGCTTTCAGGCTTTGGGTTATTTCCAGCTTCTTCCTCCTGTCTTCAAAACCTCACCCCCAATAACCCAACATGCAATATTGGATCTACATTCTTGTTTCTTTTGCAACAGAACTGGGTCCTGTTAGACCATTAACCACAAACCTTCAGTGTAAGGATCTGATTAGAGCGTAGAGCTGCAAGTGTAGTACTTAGGTATTCCTAAGGGACAGTGAAGACATAGTGACACAGAATGGGGTCAGTTAGATACATCATATCATCAAGAACAAAACGAACTTTACTGGCCCAACTATTCTCTGAGGTCAGGTTCCATCTCCAGCCCTACCCTAGCCACTGTAATTTTGTAATCATCTCCAACTACCCATCTGTCCTCAGGATTGATGTAGTATAAGATAAAATCTTCTGTGGTCCCTTACTCATAAGAATATAGGTTCTGTTTGCTCATGACTTGTGCAGTAGACTAACTTAAAAGAGCTAAGTTGAGTGGAGATGCAGTCCTGATTTTTAATTTATTTAAAAAAAACCCCCAAATGTTCTAATTTTTTAAGATAGTTTGCTATTTCTTGCCTTGTCCATGGCATCCAGTGAAGCTAACAACTCCTCACACTGATGACAATGTCCAATAAAATTAATAGAAATTTCAGCATAGCTAAAGTTACATAAAACTTTTGAAAAAGTGTATTTTTCTTAATTTTCACTTCTCTTGTTTTCTGATATTGAGGAGAAGGGGGCTACAAAAACTGGCTGACGACTCCATTTACCTTGAGAACCTTCAGTCTACCCAAGGACATTCAACCCAGGAGCTAGTCTGGGGACATTTATCATTCTTAAGTCAAAAGCCCTCATTCAGGTCAGAAGGTTGAATTGGTGCTCCTTTAGAGACCAAAATTGCTGGCTGCTTTTATTGCCAGGCAAGTCAAAGTAGGTTTCCATCACTTAGCTTAGCTGGGGCATTATTGTACTGACCTGCAGTGCCTTTTCCTGCTATTAGAGCCTATGTGAAGGCAGCCAGCTCTTGGTCACGTGGTGATGGTGTTAATTGTGGACCAAAATTCAGCAGTGTCTATAAACAGAGACTATCAAACTGTTGTCACTTGTGACCTAAGATATAAACTGAGGTATAAACTCCCTGTAATTTGTCATCAGTTTCTCCATTTCCTAATGTTTTTATGGTCCCTGGCCCTGTTTTTCACCTTGAGCAATGAGGACAGTCTGGAGCCAACGGCTGTAATAGAACTCGGGACACTGCTTAAGTGAACATTGTTGCTAGCTTTTTTTTAACATAACAATGTAATGAGACTGCCTGTCTAAATAAACACAGCTGACCTTCTATTATTGTATCGGGGCCGGAACACACGACCTCCCTTCTCCCCCCGCCACCCTAGATGCCACAGACAGGTTTGCTATCTACATGCAGTCTTTGTACCAGAGTCCTGGACCACTCATGGCCCCATTGCCGTCTGGGCCAAGGGCCAAAACTCTGTTCAACTGTCCAGAGACTCTTCAAAAAATAAACAGAAAGCTTTTAAGCCTGTCTCCCTGTGCACCATGGTTACAAGTTTCAGTCTTCTCATATGATGTCCTTCCAGTGCATTTCCAATGGATTTTCAGAGCTACAGTTGTTTTTAGGTTTGTTTATGCCAGTTAAATTCTTTCTTATAATCCCCTAAACCCCATGATATGCTCCCTTCTCTTTTGATGGTGGTACATGCCGGACAGGGCAGGAGAGGGAAGTAAGAGGGGCTATTTCCTGGCTTTAATAAAATTATTACTGAAATAAACAAAAACACCTCTTTTTTTTTTCAAACAGTGGTGCACAAACAGCCAGGTGATACTTACATTACATTCATTACATTATGAACAGTGCCAGTGCAAGGTTTTTAAATGTAGACACTGACATTATGTCGTGGGAGGACTATTTCTACTTGCCCACCCTTAAAAAAGCCTCTACCCTGCCCACAGTAAATTTCTAACCCTATGGACACAGGTTTTTTCAGGTTCACTGCTGTATTTCATTGACTTGACCTTTGTTGTCTACACTCCCACAGCCCTTTGTGAGCCAGTTTTTGCCCTCAGGATCTCAGTACTGAAGGGGCCACCAGTATGGGGTTCTCCCCAGTTTTGTTCAGTTAGCTCTGCAGAACCACCCTCCCTTCCAAGATCTACAAAAGGCTTCCTGTATGTTCCAGGGACTAGAATGAATGGGGAGCTATACAGAGGAGATGGGCCAGGAAGGAACAAATAGCTAGAGAAATACTGAGTCAGGGGCATACTGTCCTTGGGATATTTACCTGATACAAACTAGGTGAACAAGAGTCCAGAGCCCCAGGTCATCCAGCCTTTTTCCCATGGGTCTCCAAATATCCTATCCCTCTGTGATGATAGGGGCAGAGCTGGTGTGAAGGTACAAGGCCTCTGAGCAAATGGCCCTGGTCTCCTTCAAATCCTCAAGTGCCCCACCAGGTTGGGGGATGAGACCCACAACCCTCAGGAGGCAAACTCAGCCCCCTACTAAGATGGTACCAATGGGATTTTCAGGAATGAGTACATATCTAGATGTCTGTCTTAGTCTAAAGGAATGAAAATCCCTCCTGGAAGATTCTATGCAATGTCTTCAAATACAATGTAGCAACCAAGTCAGTAACTTGGTACTTGTGCTGAGCTTCATTAATGAAAAGTTATGTATCACCAATAGAAAAGCCATTCAAGCAGAACAGAATTGATATGCAAGAAGCCATGGGATAGATAATAATAGATACTGCTTACCCTGTGTGGGTACTCAGCACATTGACCCTGCAAAAAGGAAGACAATTAAAAAAAAGCAGTTTAGATATTGAATGCAGTGAACTAACATGGACAAAGGAGGGTAGATCCATGAGATGTAAATGGGCATGGCTACAATGGAGGTTTATATCACCTAAGCATCCAGCCTGTTACCTGCTAACTTTGCTCCCTTTCCTTCCCACATTTACTTTAATTAGAGAGCCACAGAAGAAGAGGCAATTTAGTTCAGGAAAAGTTAGCCGACAACCAACCACTTCAAATTAGAGAAACTAGCAGACAGGATCCCCCTTTGACATATGCATAAACTATCGTTCTGTAGGATTTTCCAACATGTAATCATTACATTTTCTTAGCAACTGTTGGATTTTTTACAGTTTGGACAAGATTCAAACATAAAAAACCAGGATCCTAAATTCATATTTAGGCCCCTTTTAAAAATTAATCTTGAGTACCCTTCACTCAGCACTTTTTAAAATCAAATAATTTATTAAAGTGCTTATGTGTGAATTCAGGAGCCGAAGTTTGGTTTCCTATTTTTGAAAATACTGTTCTTTGTTTCTGGTGTCAGGATCTCTGTCCTGACACAACAGAGAGAAAATAAACAAAAGCTTCCTGAAGTCTCACGTTGCTCCTATTCCACTGCTGCTTTTAACTTCCTTTCAGCTTTTAACATTTGCTTGTGCTGCTTCTAATGTGACCATATGGAAAACATTTTATCCTCAGTTAAAATTATGGGCATGGTCATAAAAGGCACTTTGCTGTAGCTCAGGTTTGCCCCATATCTGTCTTTTGAATTATATAACTAGAGGACATCTAATTTAAAGGAAAAGTTTTTAATTCAAGCACTTCATTCATGCCACTTTAACTGTAGAAACTGCAAAGCTATACTTTGCTGTCAGGCATTATCAGCAACATTTCTAGATGAGCTCTTAGTCCACAACCATTAGCACTGGTCATAGCTGGGCATGATTTATGAAGCAGAGAGAACACAGATTGTTTTTCTAAAGTTAAGAGGAGCATCAAGCTAAAAAAAAATCTTGACCTGCTTTGGGAACTGCCCTAGTGTGCTTTGAAAGTCAAAGTTGAAGATGAAAGAGCATCAAGATGAGACACAGCCACTTCCCTGCCTCTAAGGAGCACCTTTCAAATTTCATTTGAAATCCAGCTCTTTTTAAATTTACCTTCTCTCCTTTTTGTCCTGGAGGTCCCTAGGAAAAAGCAATGATTAAGAAATAAATTAAAGAGTAGTGTGCATGTTAAAGGAAAATATCAGAAAAAGTCTATTTACCTAAGTCATTAAGGACAGTACTTACCGGCTGCCCCTTAGGACCAGCTGCACCCTTTAAAAAAAAGATATTGTTTTGATCAATGGATATAATTGTTATGTACAGAGACAAGACTAATACAAATCTAAGATGGAAACTGTAACTTTAAGAAAGTTCTTAGCTAAAAGCCCTCATGGTAGAATGAATCTTTGCGATACTTGTCATACAAGAGATGTGAAGATGCACAAGTGCTAGACTTCACTGAAGTTATGTTTCACAGGAGAGTGAGAAATCACTGGAGAGACCCACTTTCATTGTTCCCAAATGTTTTAGGGCAGCCATCCACTTGGCTGGTAGGCTGGGTTTTAACAAGGGAGCATCAGAACTAAAAGTACCATTTGCTACTATAGCTCAAGTTAAGACTGTATAACAGAAGGCATACAGGAGCTTATCTCTTCTGCAGTCCAGGGCCACGCCCAGACGTGCATGGATGTGCAGTATGTAGTGCTGCAGACCCATCTGCGGTGCCACACACTGCACATGCAGGCATTCCCCACGCTGCTACCTGGCAGCACAGGGTGATTTTTTGACCCCGGGAGGTCCCGGGGTCAAAAAAACCCATGCCAAAAAAAAGCAGGGTGGTGCACGTTATGGCAGTGTGCACCACCCAATACTGGAGCCTGGTCAGCTGGAGCCACACTCTAGCTGTTGGCCAGGCCTTCTGCCATGGCTGCAGCCCTGGGAGGCCCCAGCATTCCAGGTAAGGCTGCTGGGGCCAGCACAGTTGCTGGCCCCAGGCTCCCCTACCCCAGCTGGAGTAACCTGCCATGTGCCAGATCATGCATGGCATGAGTGTTCCCTGGGGACAAGTAAAGGCGACACAAAGTGTGGTGCTGCTACTTGTCCCTGGGGAAACAAACTTCAGCACTCATGTGGATGTAGCCCAGAAGGGCATCTTTAACACACAATTTCTAATGGATTCCAGTTATGCTCATGGTTCATTCTCTCTTTTAAAACCTAATTCAGGAGTGCATTGGACATGGACATCATCCATTCATTTCCACAGGAACTGGGGATACTTAGAGCACTGCAATTTTAGACCTGAACACATTGACTAACAGCCAACGTCTGTTCTGGAATGCTCATCTAAATCAATGACAGTGGCATGTGATGCCTCAAAGGGCAGCATTTAGTCTGGTGAAAGAGGGGGTTCAGGGATCAGGCCCATTTGAATTCTCTGTGACTAATTTTTTTTTTAAGAAAACACAATCAGTACTGCCAAGAAAAATATCTGGCACTTTGGCCATGCAGCTTCTGGGTGATGCAACTAGCCTGTTTGGACATGCAATGCATTAGTCAAAACTATTGAAGCAGAAAGAAGAGAGAGCAAAATACTTTGCAAAGTAGTGTTGAATTAATCTCTGGCCCTCATGCTAGGTCAAGTAAAAGCCTGTTGGGCCTCTGACCTGTACTATTTTGACAGATTCTAGGGAGGAAAAGGAGTTTAAGACCATCAGATTTTATTTTAAGTAGAGAGGAAACAAAAACACTTTACTTCCTTTAGTGCTTTGCCTTGCATATCAGCATCTAGATTGCAACTCACTGAAATGAGCAACATTATTGCTGGAATAAGCAGATAGGTAAAATAACAGTAGAGTTAACAAAATAGAGAAACAAAAACAATGAGAACTGAGTCATCCAAAATGTGTCCAGTTACCCAAATATAGCTGGAGGGGCAATTGGTCTATAGAGATATTACTAATTTCTGACTTGAATAATCATGTGAAAAGTGAACTCTGAACCTTGTGAGCTCTCAAAAATATAGAGCTAGTCAAAACTCTAGTAAAATTTGAAAAGCTGATGAAATGAAGACTACTAACAGGCATGCAGGCTTGCTACATTAGTTTCAAACAGCATATTTTTGTGATTTCACAGCCCAAATTCTCCAAACATGTCAAAGGCCCAACACTTAACTCAGAACTTCATACAGAATAGGCCAGAGTTATTACATAAAACTAAGCCCTTTTGGAGTTACCCAAGAATAAAATAAAGCATCTAAAAAAAATCTTACTAGGCAAAAAATGTGCTTCTTGTTTTGTCACTGTAGTTTTGTGGTGGGGGTTGGGTGGGGGAAGAGAAAGTCATTTCAGACAGTCCAAAATCTTCTGGATGGGATTTTAATGAAACTTGCCATAAACTTTTACCTCTGAGATGAGGCCAAGTATGAAACATTTCAGTTCCCACAATATATTGTAAGGGCATAATTACTGACTAAAAATGAAGTTTAAGAATTAAAATGACATCTCAGCATAACTACTGAATTGCGATTATGAACGGATAATCCAGGAATTTCTAATGTTAAAATAATAGCTATACCTCCCATGCACTTATAAAGGGACTAAATTAACTGGTACCTAGAATTAGGTAGGTACTTAGTGTGTTAGTAGCAATTAGGGCAGTTACAAGTGTGTCTATATTAAGGACATGCCATTTAAATCAAATCCCATAAACTTCCCCTAATGCAAAACTATTAAACCCAGAATCAACACACTACCCCTGCCAATATACATATTTTTTTTACCATCTCCCCTTTCTGTCCAGGATGGCCCTGAAAGGGAAAAAGAATGCATGTCAGGTGCAATCATTTCAGTATCCTGGTGATTCAGGCCTAATAACTCCATGAACACATCACCTTAATTTGACTCATTATTCATTTCATTTTGCTTGTTTCTGGTGCCAAGGTATATTCTTACAGCTTCAGTCACAGTTAATGGAATATTGCTCTTGCCTATTTCAGTGCCAAGCACTTAGATAAAACATTTATGATCTGTAGTTTGGATTTGAACGGTGACATGATTATGCCCTCTCAAGAGGATGGCAGAGAAGAGGTTAATCCCTTTACTAGAGAAAAGATCACAGCTGTTTGGCCTGAGTGCAGTGATCTTCAGAGTAGTAGGAGATTCATTAATTACCTCCAGCAGAGTATAAAAAGGGTGTTTCTGTAGATTAGTTGTAGATGTTTCCAGCAATAGGGGTTGGGGTTTTTAACAGCAAGATAAGGGAAGAGCTGGCTAGGGGCTCTGATTTCTCTTTCTGTAAGTTGAATGAGGAAGTTTTGCAGTTTAGACCTTTGTTTGGGGTTTTTTTGAAATAGCCCACTGTATTGTATGACTCTGTCTGGGTTTAGCTGTATAACACTTGTGTTTGGAGACTATTTATATTAGTTTCCCTATCTTATAATTCAGCCCATCACAAAAGAGATCTGAGCACCCCACAGGCCTTTAGAACCCTTTGCTGACCTCATGTAAAGTCTCCTAGAAAATTGGGGGGGGAACCCCTTGTGTCTGAGTAAATTAAGTGATCAAGGCTGCACCAAGATGATACAAGAAGGTTAGGGAATTCATTCTACTTCTCTTTGCCTTTGAGAGTTCATCTGCTCAGTTAGGTTTAAAATGCAACATGAGGGATATGTGCTAGTTTGCAGATGACCTGACAAAATGACTGGATAAAAAATATCAACACTTGTATATGAATAAGGGATTCACTTCAACTCAGATAACCATGTTAGGTTGATGGGCCAAGTCATACCAGTTTCTTTAGACAACAGCGCACAAGGTAGTGGAGTAGATAGCTTTATACTCAACCACTTCTGATGCCCAGACCAAAGGTCCAGGTAGCAGTCTGTAATGCATCTGACTATGAGCAAGCCTCTTGCTCTGTTCTGGAGCAAAGCTGTCGAATTTGTACCTCCTAGAGCTCTAGCAAAACATTGTTGCTGCTCTCTCTCACTGCCCTTGCCTCAGTACTGCCCCTTTCATTATTGAAGCCAACTCCCCAGAAGGATTTGCTGTCTTTCTCATTGTTGGTTAGGAAATAGCATTTAAAGGTCTGGGGCCTTTTGGGAGGGAATTGTCTTATAGGTATAGATATATGCATTATAAGGGTTCAAGATGGGCAGAATTTAATTGCTTTGGAAGAGCCTGGGTTTCACACACACAGTCACATATAGCCCTGGGTGCAGATAGGCTGTCTAGCATGACAAAGCCAATGGATGGTCACAGCCTGAGAATTGAGGGGGGCATGCCATAACACAAGGTCACAGCCTTCAAGGCAGACAGTTTGTCTAACACGTCAAGGACACACAGCCTGGGAACCAAGGAAGTATATATCATACTGTCCCATAACACAAGATAAGTGACACCAGCTACAAGGCCCCAGAGCAGTGTGGGGGGGCTGAGTTCCAGGTTTGGGAGAACAGACCAAATTAAGAGAAGGCTGTGTGGACGTGTGACCACAGAGAGACAACCAACCAGAGAGAGCCATGGATGAAGAGTCATCAGGAGTCATCAAGGGGGAAGGAGAGTACAAAAGCAGAGACTTGAGAGTAAGAAAGGGTCCCTCCCTGCCCCTTCTTGATGGCTCTCCTTCTCTTCTTTTGTCTCATCCCTCCTGGTTCCTCCTCCTACTCCTCCCTGAGAGGGGTCCCCATCCTCATTCCCTGGAAAGGGTCCCTAAGGTCACCAAGGACTGAGGACATACCAGCAGCCTGTCTCATGCACCCCACTGGAGGGGGGTTGTGGGCCTCGGCATCCCACCTCCAGACTGCCGACACCTAAGAGACAGCCTCAGAGTGGAGCTTGCATCCTGACCAGATGCACTTTGACTCTGATGACAGCCCTAGAATTGGTAGATATAGAATTGTTTGTATTGTTGCTTTTTTGTTATCACTCTGTATCAATAAATTTGCCTATTATTGAATGGAAAGGTAGTGGTCGATCTGAGGGTTGTGCTTGCCTGGAACAAAGGTGTAAGAGCTAGGTCGTAAATCCAGTGCCAACACTCATGTTGCAAACCCTTCTTTAGGTGCATGAGTATGTGCACAGACTTCACAAAAATCTTTCAAAAGAACATTTTCACTGTGTGGCACTTCTCCTGTCCAGGTAGTCAACTCAAGGGACATAGGTAGAGAGAAGGAAGTGTTTTACTTACTGGCTTGCCATCCAAACCAATAGGGCCCTGGAAAAAAAAGGTGATGGGAAATCAATTCACTGGGGAGCCCACAGAGACTTAGTTGTGAGGAGATCATACAGGATGTAAAGAACAGTGAAGGAAGGATGTGATGCAGTTCTATACAATTGACCCCTTTAGACTCAAGGCAGAGGAGACAAGGACAGGAAAGAAACGGAAGACAAAGGAAATAAAATTGCCTGCCAAATGGAGGGTTCCAGTAGGAGACTCCTTCTCTTGACCTCTTGCTCTCTGTCTTCCTGGGTATAATGAATAGCTAATGTATGTCCTCTCCTGCCCCTGGGAGGAGTTGCTTGCCTTACTACTTAGGGAATATGTAAGAGGCAGGAGAGCAGGAAGGGGGTTGTCAAAATCTTTTCTTGGACCAGCTGTATAGTTGAGGGAGATATTAGACAAGTTTTTGAGCACAAAGCATCCTTCCTCAGGTCATGGCCTTGACATGCTTTGAATGGCCCTCATAGTTCTCCTTAATGGAAAGGTTGGTGAGTATAATGCTGTGTTCAAATGTGTGAAATCCATGGGACTAACAGGGTTGCTGAGAAGCCAGTGACTGGGACAGGAGTAGGGCAATGGGGGGAGGGTACAAAAATGGGCAAAGAGGGAAAATAATAATGCTTTGATCAATGTTTTTGGACACCAAAATATCCACGCTGTACTTCTCTACAGCTTCCTGAAAGCATTAGCATCTCTTCAGGCTCTTCTTCCACATTGCCCTCCTCCACACTAAACCTCATACTTCAGTCATCAGAAAGAGAGCACAGATCTGGCTTCAACCAGGTCTCTTACCATTTGACTCTTTTTTAAATTTAAAAATTGACTACATCTACTGCAATGAAAGGAGTAACTCCACTTTCTCTTTTCCGTAACATCTCTCTCCCCACCATCACCTAAATGTGGAGAGTAAGCTCCATAATCTGCTGAATGCTATCTCTGCTTCCTTGGGTCATCCTGAGATGGTAGGACTCCCGGCTGTGGCAGGAAGTAGCATTTTACTGGGAGACTGGTTGACATGAAATGTTCAAAGAATATAAGTGGTTGGAAAAATATAGAGAAAAACAGAGCATTTTACATTTTTGAAAAAATTTAAACCACAATGTCAGCTAGACAAAAATGAAAAAAAAAATCTCATTAATTTTAAACAATGAACACACCTTTCAGTAAACATTAAAAAATAACCTTGAAGCTATAGGTGCCACAAAGCTTTAGAAGAGAACCCAGAATGTCCTAGTGCTTGGTATGGGGTCAGCTTTGTCATATCACTGAGTTTGCTGTCAGGATGCTCAAACCTCAAAAACCACCAAGTACAGAAGAGACTCCCTTCTCTTCAGTGTTTTGCTCTTACCGAAGTGAGGGTGGCTCTCTGGTATTGACTAACTTCCAGAGAGAGCAGCACAAAGCTTAGGGGGCTCAAAGATGGTAGATTCCTGGGGGGGTTCCATGTCTAAGGTAACCCCCTGAAGATCTGTACTGCTTCATAACCTACCCTTGAGTGACAACTTCCAGTCTCCCCACTGGAGCCTGGGCTGACTTGAAGAGGGGTATCAGTGGCAAAAGTAATCTTAGCTTCTCACATCTTCAGAATAAATCAATAGAAATACATAGTGAATGCAGTGTTTTGGAACAGAGTAGATAGTGAGGGTAGTGTGGCCAGACTGACTTAACAGGAAGCATGGAACGGACATGGGGATTTTTTCATACTTCCTAGGATTTATTGTTTGTTACCTTGCCCTTTGCAAAGCTGTAAAGTTACAGCTATATCTGTAACTTTACAGTGCTGCAGAAGAAATTCCATCCATGCCGTTATCCTTTCCCCCTCCCCCTGCTGGGACTCTTTGCCTAAGTGAGGTCAGTAGCTGTGCTACACTGCACAGAGGTCTGGATGAATCTGAGAGGCTCTCCGTTATTGCAGTATCACACTGAAGTCCATTAAGGCTAAAATTTCACTTACTTTGGGTTGATTTTCTTTGTTTTGGGGTATTTTACAGTACAGATCTGGCTTAAGCTATGTTATTTTAACATCGGGTTTAAAAAAAAAAATCCTTTAGAGTTTTGAGTATGTGTATGTGTGTGTGTGTTTTCTAGGTAGCATTAAGGAGAAAAGAAAACAATAATGAAACCGGAAAAAACTTTTAAATGACATGTTGGGTCCTTGGTTTAGGATAGAAATGCTGAGAGAGAAAGCAGCAGTACTGATGCTAGCTGGCAATACTGTGCATATATACATCATAAATTAGCAGTTGCACTTACCGGAAATCCAGGAAAACCTCTTGTTCCAGGCTGTCCCTGAGAAGAATAAAACAGAGGCAGGGAAGTTTAAATAAATGTATGAGTAGCGCAGTGTTTCTGCCTAATAACGCTTCATTTTAGGCTTCCTGGTTCAATTCCCCCCAACCTGCTCTCTCTGCAATATCACTGCAGTGCTTGGGGCTAGTCACCCAAGATTCAAGAGTGTTTTAAAAGAACAAGGCAACTGGGAAAACAGAGCAGTCTATAATCACCCCTTCATTTTGTGCAGGGCCAGGGCAGTGATGGAAACAATCTAGTTTGGACTCTCAGCTATTTGTCTGAAGTTTCTGAGTTAATTAAAGGGGTGCCCTTAGCTCAAGAACTGGCCCTCAGGAGTGCTTTTAAGAGCTTGAGTTCATGTCCTAGAATTGCATGATGGTAACCTCTTGCCATGTTGTACAAGGTGTTAGTACTGGGTGCTACGCAAAATCCTGCTTATCATTATAGTCTGTATCCTACAGTCACGTTCCAGGCTGAGGCCCTAGTGCATTAATTTTGACCACAAAGAATATTTTGGAGCATAGATTTTCTGCAGGACCTAAAGAAAAAAGATATTTTGTATAATGTGGACAGGGTATTCTAAATATAAACCCCTCCCTCCTGCATCTGTTCCAGTAGTTAATTTCTGACTGTCTAATCCAGGATGTAATCCTAACAGATGGCAGCAGGCACTGGCCCAGTGGACTATGACATATCTGCTATTACTCATCTTGGGTTCAACAACCTAGGACCAATTAGATAATGACAGCATCCTGACTACTAGTTTTCAGTACACCAAATTCTAGGCCATAGACCTTCTATACATTTTCTTTATTAACAGGACAGCTTAATCCTCATTTAGCTAAATGTGTGTCAAGTTTGGGGAAAAAAATCAAGAACTGAATTTCAGCCAGGTCTTGAAATTAACCCTTTGAGATCGAAATAGCTGGATGAAATAAATTCCATTTCTTACTCCTCTACTGTAACTTCTGTGTTGTTGCAGCTTTCCTGAAAGCCATCTTTTGCAAATATCAGTAGGCATCACCCTCTCTGCTGAGCTAAGTCTTCTTGTCAAATATTGCATGTTTTGAGACTTTTCTGGGTTCTAATCTGGGGAGGGAAATGTGTTTTGGACACTGCTGATGGGGGGGGGGGTCCCTGAGCATGTAACATTTGAATAGGACTGTGCACAGGTCACTGTCCTTTGACTCTCTCAGTGAAGAAGCAGCAAAGATTCACTGAAGGGGAGGGTTTTGGGTGCTGGGGATGTATTTAGAGTAGGAAAGAGGGGCCTGGAAAATCAGACAAAATATCTGGTTGGGTTGGGAAAAAGTTGGAGTAAAATATAAGGGAGAGACCATGCTTTTGGTGCTGCACTTCTGAAATCAAATGAATCTCAACACTCTAAATTCCTCCATCACTATGTTTAACAACACAGATCAGTGCAGCAGCAAGCAATTAGTTGGTTAGGAAACATGCAGCTTTGTAAGACTAGTTCCAAAAGGCTATGAGAAATGGGTAATAGCCTGAGCAAAGCAATGCCTGGCCTCACCTCTTCTTATCCTTGGTTCACCCTGACAGGTGCTGGAGACTGGAAGGAAAACCAGATGGGGGCCATTCTGGCAGTAGAAGGAGCCCCCTACCTTGGGATATTCCACAAGGGCCGCTTCCACCCCTTTACAGCCCCTTTACACCTCTGGAGTGACATAATGGAGCTTTAGCATAACTTAGAATTGGGCCCCCAAATCTTTTTTGCAGACCTCTAGAGAACTCCAGCTACTATAAAATGTCTCAAATTGCAGCAAACAATGGTGTTTTTATTCGCAGTGCTAGCGTGACTGAATCATTTGCACTGTTTTTTAAAACTTTGCTAAGTTGAACTTGGTCATAGTTCCTTTGCAGGATATGTATAAAACCACCTGGCTCTGTTGGCTGATGACCAGGGGAGAATATGTGTTATAAATTCAAAGATCCGTCCACTGCTGATTTCTGAAAGGGTGAGACTCGAGGGATCCCATTCATAAATCACTGCATTTTGATCCTATTTGGACCACTCCCATGGACAAAGGGTGCTAAGAAAAGAATTGAGGAGGAAATAAGGAAATGGTGCAATTTGGCCTTTGCTACCTTTCTTGTAAACTATAAACTGCTCCTTTTTACTCCTTGGCTAGACACTGAACAATAAAAGGGCAAAACAAAGATCAGCAACTAAAGATTCCAAGAAATGATATTTTTTCATGTCTTCTTCAACAATTGTTCATATCAAGTATGCGGCCCTGAGAGTTGCCAAATCATGGACGGTGTCTGTTTCTGCCACTCTCAACATAATGCTTCTCTTTGGCCAGGCGGCTTGAAGAGAAATTAAGCAGCTGAAAAGTCTGGATGTGAAAATGTTGACCTCCTCTTTCCTGCAAAAGAAAAATCTGGAAATTGTTTGTCATTACAGATCTTCCCAAAGTGGCCTATTTCTCCACTGTTTCTTCATTTCCCTTTGGCATTAGTTGATCCTTCATACTTATCACCAGCTCCCTATGAGCAGTGAGATAGTTAGCTGTGTTATACAAAGTCAGGCAGAAGGCAGGACTGGGTGGGACCTTAGGGCAAGTCTACACGTTCATTAATGTGCTTTACGTAATGCACATTAAATCTAGTACCTCCATTCTAAGGTACTAGAAAAAGGTGCATTAGCCTATTTTAGTGCACATCAGTGAAAGAGCATGTTTTAATGCATATTAAAATAGGCTAGTATACATTAAAGTGCATGTGTAGGCATGTCCTTAGAAACTATCTGGTTTAGAGAGGCATGAAATTTAATAGGCAGCAAACTACTTTATCAGATTCTATGAAAGGTTTCTAAGGTGCCACTCTGCTCTGCCTTTTATCCAGCTTCCTATGAAATCATATAATCTTTGCAATAGATATTGGAGTTGGAGGAGGTGAATTTTAACAATGGCAAACAAATATTCATTTTAAATATAATTTGCCATACAAAATCTCCTTCATTTTATGCCTTGCATCTTCTCTAACCATCACTCCCTCCTATAGCAGGACAGCTAATAAAATAAAGCAG